CAGGCTTTGAATCACTGTGAGCCAGGTTATGGTAGAAAAGGTGAAGGAAGTCATTATAATTTCTTGAGGATTGGTTTGGAACTGAAGTTGAGATTAATAGTATCCTCTCTGAATAGCCTATTACAAACAAGCATGAGTTGGAAAATTTAGAGCTGAACTTGTTCCAGGAGACTGGAAAGTATAGTCTGAGCTCCAAAGCCTGTGGTGGCCTCCTTTTGATAAAGAAATTGTGCTAAGAATTGGGTTTATACTTTTCTCTCTATGCCCACTTTCTGCACCCCACCTCTGTATTTTTCTGCAATTTAGATAGGTAGTTTCTACATTCCAGCCCCCTGGGCCTTGGCTGGGAAAGAGGGTATGGCACTACTTAGTCCAGAATGCTTTGCTTTGGAACAGAGAGCCTCACTTTGCAGGTCCAGATATCCATGTTTTAAACAAGTGGTGTGTAAAAGTTAAACTTACTGGCTGGATCTCAAGCCAGCCTTCCTTTTGGGAGAGATGGAAGGGAGTGGCAGAAAGCATACAGCTTGCATGGTTTTACCTCTGTGTCAAGGACAAATGGCAGTGCAATGAGGGAATCTGATTACAGTGTTGGAACTAACTAGAGATGAGGTAGGTACCCTGGTCAAAGAGACAGGACTCTTAGAACAAAGTGAGTTATTACTATGTTTAGCTTTAACTTCAGTGAAACTATTTTAATTGATGCTCAGCATTTGAACTAGTAAAAGCAAATATAACAAAAATAAGTTTATAAAAATAGAAAATATTCTTCCTAATTAAAATGTAATCCCAGGTTTAAATGTTGTTGTTGTTGTTGTTATGTGCCGTCGAGTCAGGTTTAAATAGGGTTCCATATTTTTAATCAGTGCAGAAACAGCTTTGGGCATTAGGAGTAGTAGCAGTTTCGCTGTCATCAGAGCCTGTCTAACCTCAGGAGGAATGATACGAATCAGCATCAGCCCAGGGCTGATTCTCGTGAGGTGGGCATCAGAGATACTCTTCCAATCTTTTTTGTCAATGCTGACATCAGCCGTCCTCCTGTGGCCCTCTCTACTTCTCTGTTGGGTTCGATAATCTGTTGCAGTGGCCACGCAGAACTCACAAACCATATTTACAGTTAAGTGGTTTATTAAGAACCAGGGTACAACTCGGGATCAGGCTATGGAAACAAAGTCTCCCTTCTTCAGAGCAGGACAGCTCTCTCAGCTCCTCAGTTGTGCAGTCCTCCTCTTGGCCTCCTGAGAATAGGCTCCTCTGAGCCCCCTCCAGACAGATCTTCATTTGCATATTAGGCTATAGACACTTCATTTGCATTGTTGTTCTTAGATGCTGTCAAGTTGGTTCTGACTCATAGCAACCTTCTGTACAACAGAATGAAGCATTGCCCAGTCCTGCGCCATCCTCACTGTCATTGCTATGTTTGATCCCATTGTCGCAGCCACCGTGTCAACCCATCTCGTTGAGGGTCTTCCTCTTTTTCACTGACCCTCTATTTTACCAAGCATGCTCTCCTTCTCCAGGGACTGGTCCCACATGATAACATGTCTAAAGAATGTGAAACAAAGTCTCATCATCCTTGCTTCTAAGGAACATTCTGGCTGTACTTCTTCCAAGACATATTTGGTCGTTCTTCTGATAGTCTGTGCAGCAGTCAGTATTCTTCGCCAACACGATAATTCAAATGTATCACTTCTTCTATCTCAGGTCTTCATTTGCGTAGTAGGCTATAGTCACCTCATTTGCATAGACCAGACCCTGCAAGGTGTACAACAATTAGTCCAAGACCACACAAAAGGTATCAAAACCAAGTTGTTTACAGCTTACCCAGAAAATGTCAGTCAACCTGGATAAAAGTAACAAACCCTCTGGGGTAGAAAACTAGGGCAAAGGTAACTCTTCAGGGCTTAAGGAATAAATTTCTAAAGAACCAAAGGAAAAAAACACATAAAGGGACTCGTTTCACCACAAATATACATGAATTCATAGTGTTCTACTTTCACCCATAAAGGAAAGTTCCTTGAAATACATATCCATTGCTGTCAAGTCAATTCTGACTCATAGCGACTCTATAGGACAGAGTAGAATTGCCCAATAGGGTTTCCAAGGCTGTCATCTTTACGGAAGCAGACTTTCACATCTTTATCCCACGAAGTAGCTTCTGAGTTCAAACTGCCAACCTTTTGGTTAGGGGCTGAGGCTTAACTACTACACCACCAGGGCTTCTTGAAATATATATTGTTGTTGCTGCTGTTGTTGTTATGTGCCGTCAAGTCGGACCCGACTCGTAACGACCCCTCCTTGGCTTTCCGAGGCAGTATCACTACAGAAGTAGATTGCCCAGCCTTCCTTCGAGGAGTGGCTGGTGGGCTTGAACTCAGCCAGCCTTCTGGTTAGCCGTCAAGTGCCTTAGGCACTATGCCACCAGTGCTCCTTGAAATATGTATTACTATTTAAAAAAGAGGGAGCTCTGGGAGCATAGTGCCCAAGGCACTTGACGGCTAACCAGAAGGCTGGCTGAGTTCAAGCCCACCAGCCACTCCTCGGAAGGAAGGGTGGGCAATCTACTTCTGTAGTGATACTGCCTCGGAAACCCAAGGAGGGGTCGTTACGAGTCGGGTCTGACTCGACGGCACATAACAACAACAGCAACAACAGCAACACTTAAAAAAAAGAGTCCCTGGTGGCACAAATGGTTAAGTGTTAGACTACTAGCCAGTTAAGCACTTGACTACTACCAGAAAATTTAGCGGTTCTAACCTGCTCAGAGGTACCTTGGAAGACAGGTCTGGTGATGTGTTTCTGAAGGGTCAGCCTTAAACACCCTGTGGAGCAGTTGGAAACCCCATGGAGACTCTGCATACATGAGGTCACCATAAGTTGGAATCAACTTGACAGCAACTGACAACAAGTTAAAAAGAAATCCCCACCCTCACAAGTTTACCAGCTGAAGGGAAGTAGAAGTGAGGGTAAGGCATAATTACTTAATAGACACATCAGAGGGAACTCATTATTACAAGCCTGCTAGAAAACTGTGCAGAAGGAATTAGTTTGCCTTCAAGTGGTAGTATGCCAGTTTGCTCCCTCACGTTTTGTGTATGAATTGGCCTGTGCTTTAATCGACAGTTGTGGAAGGTAACTATTTTCCAGAAAAGAGTCAATGCAAATTTTATGTTAGAGAAATTGCAAAATAGGATTGTGACCTTGAAATTCACGTCACTGCTTTCATTTCGGATGCCCCTTCTGTGCCTGCTTCTCTGGTATCTTGGCTTGTGCCTTTTTTTTTTTTTTTTTAGCAAGTTGACAAGGTCTTGGAGGAGTCTTTCTGAATCTTCTTCTGTACTCCTTAGAGTAGAATGCATGGAGATGGCAATTTACTCTTTACTTCCTAATGGACTGATTGAATCTAGTGATGTTGATTTAATGATCTTTTATTCCAACTACTGTATTTAGCATTCAGAGGTGCTGAGTGGTGCAGACCATTGCCACACTCGGCTGTGTTTTCCTCTAGGCTTATATGTGTGAATCTAGAAAGCAGAAATATAGTCAAGACTCAGTTTGGGTTACAGTAGGGTTGTTTTTGCTGTGGTTTGATGTCCATTCAGGACCTGGCTCATGCAAACGCCCTGTCATTATCTTCTTGACTTGGAAACACGTCACTGTCAATCATTCCTGCCTTGTAAAGCAGTCCTGTGGATTGGGACAGGCAGCGTGCGTGTCATATGCTAATCTTGTGATACTGTGGTTTTTTGAGTGCATCGTGTTTGGGAGAATGTCCATGGCGTGTTTGAATTCAACCTTCCATATCTTTGTTTTAATATTAACTCTTTAACTTGGAAAAAATGTTGAAAATAAAGGCATATTAATACCAGTGTCTTTCCCATGGTGTTTTATCAGCTTCTAAATGCTCCTTGGAGAGAGCCCTGTTACAGAACCAGTTTGGGGAATTCACATATTCGAAATTCATACTGGTCTCGTGGGTTTTGGCTGAGAACCTGGCGTCTCACTTTCTTGGGGCGGGAACTTAAACAGAGCAGGAGCCCTCATTGGATGTGGGAAGGTCAGGTTAGTGAAATTTAGGTTACAGGATTCCCATGCATACCAGTCAGTGTGTTATTATAGAGACAGGCGAACAGATAGCTGCCTGCTCCCAGACAATTCTAGGTGTGTCCGGCTTTCTACAACAGCTGCATGCCTAAAACTGTCTTGTCAATCAACATGATGGCGGGGGGGCATGAGGCTCTACTTAAAAAAAAAAAAAAATCCATTTGAAAATCCCTGACTTTATCACTTGCCTCAATCTAAGGCTTCCTGAGTCAGATTTGAGAGTGGTGTGGAGACAATATACTTCTGTTGTCTTTCTCCAGAATACCAAAAGAAAGGACCGGTTGACATTTCTTATCTGGACTGCATAAGGAATACAAAAAGTATTTAGTAGCATCACGTTGTGTGTTTACCTTGCTTGGCTTTTGTATTTGGCCAGTGCTTAATGTTTAATTCATTAAATTATGACCACTGGCAGATGTCAATCTTGCCAATGCCTTTTATATAGCTGTAAGCTGGCATTCACGTGTATCATACGGAAATTGAAAGTTGTGAGGGGGGAATATTTCTCAGGTAATGAGAACCAAACATAACAGCCTTCCTATTGTTCTGGAAGAGCAGCATTCCATTTTCCCACGTCATTAGACATACTCTCTGGAAGAAGATGCTGGTTTTACCTGTTTTCTTAGCAACTGTCAATATCTGTGCTCACTGGCATTTAAAGTTGCACTTTGAGATATGACTGCTTTTTAGTATGAAGGTACTAATACATTTATTGATTATTACTTGGGCAAAGCCTGTGAATGAATTTTCCAGCTACACAGAGCAAAAACCATCCATTGAATAGGATGATACATAATTTTGTATTAAAACCTAATTCTAAAGTCCACTTGGCAAACTCATATGACATTGACTTGACTTTCACATATATTTTCATGGTTTTCTTTTGCAGGATAACAAAGCCATTGACCTTTGCTGATTGTGTTGGGGATGAACTTCCTTTAGGATGGGAAACTGTATATGATAAACAAATTGGAATTTATTACATGGACCACATAAATAGTGAGTAGAGTCTACATTTTCATTATCATCTGTGAATGAGTTTTCATGTTGGATCTCAAAGATGCTAAAAGTTTTTGCCGAGGTAAACAATCATTACTTCCTGGTGCAGTATTAAACTGAGCTTTATAACTGTGAGTTGAGGTTTTCATGAGCTGAGTTCTTCTGAAAAAAGTGAAGCGGTTATGTAGATATGCCTTGTGTCTGTGTTGCTGATGTCTGCATGTAATATGTTTTATAGAGGGTTTTAATATGTAATATAAAGAATAAATTTCCCATATAGCCTGGGAACAGAAATACACATTATCCTGAGAAGGTTGTTTATTGCAAAATGGAACTTAAAAGTTCTTGAAGCAATAAATGTCCAAGGGGTTACCTTGACTTCATTTTGTCTTATATATTTAATTTTAACTTTAATACCTTTTTGATCTTTGTGAAGGAGGTAAATAGTATAAAGACTGCAGCAAAAATGTCTTTGACTATGCTAGTCTCTTTGTAGAACTATCTAGAAGGGCGCTCCTCAATTGTGGGCTATTTTGCTCCCCTGGGGGACATTTGGCAATGTGTGAAGGCATTTTTGGTTGTCACAACTGGGGGGGGAGGCTTCTGGCATCTGGTGGGTAGAGGCCAAGGAATGCTGCTCCGCACTCTGCAATGCCCAGGACAGCCCCCACAGCAAAGAATGACCTGGTACCAAATGCCAGTAGAGCTAAGGGTGAGATCCTGCTCTCAGAGGCTTTCATTTCATTCTAGAGCAGTTCTCCACTCCTCACACATGACTTTCTGCCTCTTCATCAGCCTTCCTTGGCCCAGTGTCTGAGCTAAGGATCTGTTTTTCTCTCAGATTCACACCTTCTCACACTCTCCTATTTGTATTCTAGCCGCACCCCACCCAATGTCTGTCATTGTCATTTTTGTTACCAGGACAGCTCTCTGTAAGATAAAGACATGAAGCCTGGCTTCCGTTTGGCTTGTGTTCTTTCCTTTAGTTTATCCAGTGTGGGGAGGCTGGGGGTCCCTGAACATGCACGGGGCCCTCTGTATGAATAACTTAGGAAGAGCTTTCTCTGTTCCAGGCTCACGGCCTCTCATTTCCCCTTAGTGTGATTGGCCGGGCCCACTCTTGCATGGCTGCCAACCTTCTGAATTTAGCACCTGGAAACCTGAATTGGGAATCCTCTTCCTGTCCCTGTTCTCAGGGCAGGGGAGTGACTGATGCATGGCGTTCAGCTTGCACTCAATCGCAGCTGTCATCCAAGGACTATATGTACAGTGGTGACTGCAGATGGGGATGAGTGGTATCCTGGCCTGTGGCTCTCCCAGGTGACAAGAAGACTTTCAGATTGATGTGCCATTACCTGGACAGGATGAGGTGCTTGGCAGAAAAGTACCTGAGGGACTCCAGCTGAGGGCCAGTCCTCCCGAGGCCCCAGCTGATATGAGAGTCAGGCTGTCTGGGCTCAGCATCCCCGCTGGCGACTTGACCCACGGGGCTGCTGCATATCGGCTTTGGCGCACTGCTATGTGGCTTCATCCACAGGCTCTATCCTTCCCGGCCTGGCGCCGTATTTCCTGACAGCATAGGCATTTGCTTTATGCAACCCTCTAGACGAGCTTGCCTGCTACTGTCCAAGGCCAGGACCATGCAGGCTCTCCTGGCCCATAAACCTATTGTGCTTTAATTCTTTTGTTCTTCAATGCCCCTCTTCTCCTGGCCTCTCTTGCCTGCTCCCTGCTTGCTCCCTCAGTCACAGCGAGAATTGGTGGAGCACTTCCCATCGCCTGCCACACAGTTTAGCAACTGAGGACACAGGAAAATGAGACCCAGCCTCCACCCCCACAGAGCTGCCACTCTAAGTGGGGTCAGGAACCCTAATGTTGAGTCATCACCTAGGACTGCCTTCTGCCACCATGAGCATGATGGGAGGACCCAGCCCCAGGAGGGCTTCACAGTCCTACCGCCTTCTCCCAGAGACTAGATTAGTGGTTACCCAGGGGCTTGGGTGGGGAGGGGAAATGGAGGAGTTATGCTTAATGGGTAAGCTTTTCTGTTTGACGGGATGTACAAGATTTGGAAATGGATAGCAGTGATGGTTGCACAACATGGTGAATGTAATTAATGTCACTGACTTGTACATGTAAAAATGGGTACAAGGGCAAATTTTATGTTATACAGTAAAACCTATGAAAGCCAGACCTGTGTAATGTGGAACCCTGTCAGAGAAGGAAAACACAAAGATTTGCCATTAATAGAGAGAAAAATGGTAAGATTGCACCCTATCAAAGGTGGAAAAGTTCCAAGAGCTAGGAAAACAAGGCAGTCCTATCAAGTTCTGGCTCTCACAGGTTTCACTGTTTATATTTTAGCACATTAAAAAAAAGGGGGGGACCTTTGCAGTGAGTCCTGAAAGATATTACGATTTCCTGGTAAGCAGAAGGGGACAGAGCAGTGTACATCAATCAACTGGGCATGCTCAGGGGCTTTGGAAAAGTTCAGTCTGTTTAGAGGATGTTTGTGAAGAAAAGGACAAAATCGAGATGAAGCTGGCAAGTCACTTTGGGGACTCTTAGGAAGAGGCAGAGCTGTGGGAAAATAGCACGTATGGCAATTAGTTTAAAATTACCTAATGATCTCTCACAGCTGATGGGAACTGTGATGGTTAATAAAAACTGCTCAGTAGTGCCCCCCTTCAAGTGGCACCCAGAGCACGTGCCATACCTGCCATACCCTAGATTCACCTCTGCTCTTACGCCGTGCTAAGGCTTTAAGAATTCTGTGCTTTAAGAATTTTGAGCAGAGTTAGGAAGGTAAGTTTGGTAAGCTCACCAAGGCTGCATTGTGGTGGGAAGAAGTGGGAAGCCTGGGCATTCCTGGAGGGAGATCGTGAGGTCCTAATTACACTAAGGGGAGATGGAGAGAAGGGTATGTTGTTCACCATTATCATATCTAGGGACAGGAATCACTCATTCTGGATGACCTAGAGACTATTCTGGGTGAGGGAGAGCAGCAAGAGTTAATGGAGAGTGAGTCCTGGTTGGTTTCCAGGTTGGGGAAGTAGGTAGATCCAGGTGATGCTGCTCCTCGAGAGAGGAAAGGCAGAAGGAGAAACAGATGTTTGTTATTGTAGTGAAAGGGCTGAGGGTAAGAATGGGCTCTGCTTTGCATGAATGACTCAGAGTTACTTTGGGTCTGTCCACATAGAGCTGTGTCTGGGAGGCAGTTGGAAATCAAAGAGTGGAACTCAGGAGAGAGGTTGGAGCCAGAGATAAGCCTGAGCCCTTAGCAGAACCATTAGAGTGAGAAAGAAGAGCAGAAGATGGGAATTTATGGGTAGGAGGAGACAAGGAAGTCAGCAAAGAGTGAGAAAACGCTGCTTGGTCTTTAGTGGAGATGAAAGAACAGGAGAGCAAGCTAAGTCAAGTGGCAGTAGAGTTTATAGCTTCCTGCAAGAAGGAAGTCCATAAGAGGAAGGTTGTAAATATCTATTAGTTTGACAGTTACGATCTCATTTGGGCTCATCTGCTCCAATGTTTATTTACAGAGTGGTCATTATCTGTGGGAAATTGTCTTGTATTGTCTTCTCCACTGCAGTGGGCTATTTCGTATCTGCCTGGTGGAGCTTTTTTCTTGTCTCCACTGTGGATATTTAAATAGAAGGCGTTCCACACTTTAGAAAAGTTACTACGTACAGTCTTCCAGAATGAAAGTCCTGGTGATTAATTGAAGTTTATATTGACTAGCCACATAACTGCATGGCTGTTGGTCAGCCTGAAGATCTTCCTCATGAGCCACTTGAGTTCTTACCCTTTTTGATTTCAGAGCTCACCCAGATTGAGGATCCCCGAGAACAGTGGAGACGAGAGCAGGAACGGATGTTGAAGGAGTATTTAATTGTAGCCCAGGAGGCTCTCAATGCCAAGAAAGAAATATACCAGATTAAGCAGCAGCGGTTTGAGCTGGCCCAGGAGGAGTACCAGCAGCTACACAAGATGTGTGAGGATGACTGCCGCTCGTATGCCAGCTGTGAGTTGACCTGCACCCTGCAGTTAACACTCATGACATTACAAGCCATCTCTCTGCTAGGTTGCCTGCAAACTCCAGAGTTCACTCAGGCGAGACATTTGCATATTGGGTCTAATTGCATGCTTTTAGGTGATCACTACTCTGCACTGGAATCAGACAGTCTTCTGGCAGCCATTCACTTAGCAAACGTTTGGCGAACACTTGGCTGCTAACTAAAAGGTCAGCAGTTCGATCCCACCAGCTTCTCCATAGGAGAAAGATGTGGCAGCCTCCTCCAGTTAAGAGTACAGCCTTGGGAATCTTGTGGGGCAATTCTGTTCTGTCCTGTGGGGTCGCTGTGAGTTAGAAGCCACTCAGTAGTGGCTGGTTTTGGTTTTCTTTGTGTTCAGGCACTGAGATATGATGATGACCAAGAAAGGAAAGTCCCCTGGCTTCCTAGAGTATACGTACATTCAGATGGGAAGACAGAAAATAAGCAACCAAGCAGACTTCCAGGTGGTGATAGGCAGCAGCCTGGAGTCTTGTGGTGATAGTGTTGAGGAGCATGTCAGTGGGAGATCACTGCACTTCATCCTGCCTGTCGGGAGTGATTCCTTGGGAAATCCACACAGTGGTCTCTTCAGGCCTGGACAGAACGATTCAGGAGCCTGCCGATGTGTGTATTAAGCACCTGTCTATTCCTAGAGTCTTTCATTGAGGAGGAGCTTGGTGTAACCCAGAGAACTGAGAGGCTCTTTCTCGGTCCCTGAAGTCAGATGGACATACACTGGTGTCCTCAAACAGAAGCTTGCTTTCGTTTAGGAGACTGCACAGGCTGGGTTCACATTTCGTCAGTCCTCAGCAGCTGCTCAGGGCTGGGAGCAGTTTATCTTGTTACTGATACAGTCGGTCACTGCCTGAGCCAGTCTGTGCTGGTAGAGTCAGCATACCTAACAGTCCAACACGGTAAGTGGCCATGACTGACCTAGGGGCCAGTCAGCTTGTAGAGAGTGTATGAAGTTGGTACAGTAGGTTCTATGGAATAAACCCAAGTCCATTTGAGACATCGCAGGACTCACCTTTTAACTTGGCAATCCTAGCATGCTCATCTGGTTCCATCCTTAATTGGGCTAGAAGGTTCTGTGTAGGCACAATCACTGCTTCCTCTTGTGGAAGTAGCCTTGGAGGCCGGTTGGGCCTGCTTGTTTTCATGAAATGGCTGGAAAGGCCAGTGAATCTTGCTGAGGGCCTATCAGCTCATCAGGAAAAAGACTATGCGTGGAATCTCAGAGTTAATCCAAGTGGTTTATCAAGCTGCTCGTGTCCCTGGGGATTCAACTGAACTCTTTGATTTTGCCATCTAAGCTGAACTACCAATTACAGCCAGGAAAAGCGTGGTAGCTGTGACTCAAATGAATTATTTCCTGCCTCAGGATAGAGTTCAAGATGGTGATCCTGTTGGCTCAAATCATTGTCATCTAACAGATGTCTCACCAGCCATGGCATAGGTGCTGGGCCCTCATAGGAGCTGTGGTGGCAGTATCCACAGCACACCTGTCATCTAGCCAGTTACACGGGTCTCACGCAGCCCAGAGTTCTCACGCTGTTAGTCATCTCAAGCAGGGAGGCGTCCCTTACTGGATGCTGGGAACAGAATACGATTGGAACTTACCTCCTACTACTCTTTACTGGTAATGACTCCAAGTGAAAGGAACCCATATTCAATGAGCTAGATGTTTTATACGCACTGTTACAATTTCAACATTATGAAGTATGGGCTGTTACCTTCATTGTACACACGAGAAACTGACTATTGGAGGGGCCAATACCTTCTTCAAGGTTAAGAAACAAAAACAAATGGTTGCCATCGAGTTGATTCCCACCCCATGTATTTCAGAATAGAACTGTGTTTCATCGTGTTTTTTTAAAATGCGTTTTATTGAGATATAATTTATGTATAGTGAAATACACAAAACTAAAGTGACATGGGTCGATGCATTTTTTTTTTTTTGCAGTGTTTCCTCCCCTCCTTTCCCACCCCTGGCAACCAACAAAGAAAGTTTCCCTCCATATATAAACCTTTCCTTGACCCTTCACAACAACGAACTAATACTATATTTGTCCTTTTGTGATTAACTTATTTCACTCAGCATAATGTCCTCCAAGTTCATCCATATTATGCAGTGTTTTGCAGACTCTACATTATTCTTTAGTGCTGCATAGCATTCCAGTATGTGTATGTACCATAGTTTGGTCATCCACTCTTCCACTGAGGGGCACGTAGGTTGTTTCCGTCTTTTTGCTATTGTAAATAGTGC